AATCGATAAGAAAAGACAGAGGTACTCGAACTTTTGGTGTTATGGTGCCCGTGACGAAGTTGACTATTATTTACGGATTTTATAAAAAATGATTATCTATTGAAACTTAGGTCGATCTATAAGTCCATTTCGTGTCGAATAACTGTAAATTAAGATTTCGTGATAAAAAAGGAATCCATCTATACATTTTGTTATTTTTTTTAAATAGCTACAAAATCACAATGAAAGTAATTTTACTTTATGAGTTTCAGTTGTTCAGAACACACTCATTGATCTGTACGTGACTATAATTGATGATAAATAAATTTAAAATCCTTCAACTAAAATTAGTGGGTGCAATACGACGCATAAGCTGCAGTGGCATGGCGCAATAGATGAGTATTAGTGAAAAGTCGCGTTGGCGGCTGAATATTAATTGAATAATGGTTGCGGAAATTAAGTCAATATTCTAATATATTATTAAAATGGTATGGTTTATAAAACGAAGCAATATCTTGCTTGATTTAAATAGAGCATAAATATCATATAAATGTGCGTTACTTTAAACCTATCCTATCAATAAAAGACTTAAATATTAATGCCAACACGGGCGGATCCAGTAATTTTCAAATGGATGTGAATGATTGAAAACTGCTGGTCACCAAGTTATATCGTAACAGCTAGCAGGTCCGGAGACTTGAGGGTCTCAAGAGCATTTTTAGCTGCAACAAAACTGCTAAGTAAGATACAGGGAAATGTTTTAAAAAAAGAGGGGGGGGGGGCGGCTTTCAATTCTCCTAATGCCAACTACTTTGTTGGGATAACACTAGGGCTGGGCATTTTCGAATACCTTGTGATTTCAGAATCGAATCGAATAATTTTTTTCGAATCGAATCTCGAATACTTGAAAATATATAATTGTAAGCGACTTTATTATAGTAATTGGTCCTCTCAACAAATGAATTACTGAAGACATAGAATAAATCACCCAGATAGATTACTGAGCGTTCACACAGAATAACAAACACGTTTTATCAATAATAACTCACTACATAAAATAGTCCTATGTTAGAATTTCGTTGAAAAAATATGACTCTAATGAGAAAAAAATTGAGGAATTCACCTCGACCATTAGCGGAAAGATAAAAACAAGATGGCGGCGATTCGAAATTTAGCTCTGAACCGATTCGAATAATTTAGTATTCGATTCGAAATGCCCACCTCTAGATAACACATGAGTTTATTGAGAATGTCAATTCGAGTGGCAGTGATTAGGGAGATTGATTCATCATTTATCAGAAGAAAAAAAAATTCGAAGTGATTCTTATCCTCCAAATAAAATGGCCCGAATTTGTCATCAAAAACCGCCAGTGAAACTTGACTCGTATGCAGCGTGGCTCCACTCTTCACTTGCTACACCTGGTTAAGAGGCTTTTACGCGACACTGTCTGGGGTAATAAATCTATCTTTTTGATCAAAACGAATAGGATCTTTGGTACAAAGCCCCCAACCTCGCTCAAATAAGACAAAATAGTAATTATGAAGTTAAAAGATTAAAATGAGGGCTATGAATACAGATTGAGTTGAAATTTCTAATTTTCGAATCATTTCTAACCCAAACCCGAACTGGATAATTACTGATTTAATATTTTAAAACTTGGTGGGGCTGTTATTCTCGAATCTTGCACTAGTGGCAGGAATGAGCTTTGTACAAAAAGTTCAATGAATAAATCTGACAGAAATCAATAGTTGCCGTAGTAAAAGATTATACTGTTTTACCTTCATTCCCATTGAAGCGGGCTTCCGTTCCATATAAATTTTGCGTTGAAGTCATCGCTCCCTGATGACTAAAATTCCTTCGCTATTTCTTGCTCAAATTCTCTCATCCAGTTTAGGAGTTGTTTTTTGTATGCGTTTTTAGAGCAACGCCACAAAAACTGCCTCCAACTCGCATTGGGTATGACTTTTATAGGCAATTCGATTGACTCATGAAAACAGAATGATCTATTCTACTTTTTAAATGAATAATATGAACTCTTATCAAGCGAGAGTCATGCTTTATGGTCGTTATTTTCATGCTTGAATAATGCTTTGATCTCGTGTTATATGGAATGGTCAAACACGGACCACACATTAATTTTGAGACTCTGTTGTGGAGTGGATAGAAATGGACTCTAATTTTTTGCTTGCCTAATTATAATCACACTTATTGGACAAGAAATGGATCTATGGATCATTTTGCAAAATTGTTGTTGTTGTTGTAAAAAAATTGTATATTTTCGCAAACTACTGGGTCATTCGATTACAATTCATCATTATATAAAAATGGAAGGAATCGTTGAGAATCAGTAAAATGCGAGTCCTATTGAACACGGAGTGGATCGTTATTATGTTGATGTTGTCGGTATTTTTCTTATTGTTATGAAAAAATCGATTTTCCCTTTGAGTAAATTAATTTTATTTACTTCAAAAATTTCTGTGGCCTCCATGAATTTCGCTTCTTTGTGCGATGGAGTCATCAAAAACACATTTGTCGCAGATCCGCTTTCTCGTAGATTGATATCTGATACCGGTATTCTACTGTGACAGATTGCATACCAGTAGCCTACTACATCGTTTTGGATTTCGTGTCCGTATATTTGATCCTCACTCTCTTGTTTGATAGACTGTTGAAAACGCTTCTCAAACTTAATATTTTATGTTTCCGTTATATATTCAATGAAAGTATGAAATTCCGACTGCGCCAATTTCATAATTACTCATAAACAATAATTGGGTTTCACTATTTCCATTCGTGATTCGGTTTATTTTTATATCTTACTAATCATATCGTATATACAAGTACATATATATCAATTAAAATAAAATTTGAAATAAACCTTAATACTAACTTTGTATATATTTATTGTTTCTCATTACTCAGTCACGAGCTCCGGATTGAATAATTTCCAAAAGTTAATGTTCTTTATTTTTAAGTTTTATAGAAATCAAAAGAAAACGAGGTTTCGATTACTTTGCGTAGGTAAGTCATAAGCTTATGTATAATACCAACGTTTTCTTATTTCATTAACAAAATATAAAAGAAGGAAATAATAATATGAAGATGAATATCTGCAGAGCTTGCTTTGGCTGATATTATTCATTCATTTTTGCAAAAGTTCTGCAAGTAGAGCAGTCATGAATGTGATAAAATTAATATCATTCGCTTCTATAATAGTTTGGTTATGTAAATGCCTCGTAAGCAATCTGCGGAAGGCGGAAAATTGATCGCGGCGCGCATTGTAGTGTAATTATATAAATGTCTTGTGCACAGAGCGGTGTAATAAGGTTCACATTTTTCACACATCTTATTTGCATTTTCCTCTTCCATGGGATATGAAGACACCATCCTTCTATACGTATAAATAAGTTTATCTAGCCATTGCAAAAATTTACAGTATATATATTCAGTATACATTTGTGAATAACTGGTGAATTATTCCCGTGACCAACATGAATTCGTAACAGGTAGTTAGACCGTGTTTCGCCACGTGATTATCGACTTTCGCGTCTCATTGATAGCGCTGGGCATTTTCGAATACATGGTGATTTTAGAATCGAATTTAATATTTTTTCGAATCGAATCTCGAATACTTGGAAATATATAATTGTAAGCGACTTGTATTAATCCTGTCAAATGCGTTACTGAAAACATAGAATATATATATCACTCAGACAGATTACTGAGCGTCCATAGATAACATGAAACACGTTTTCATCAATAACTCAATACAAAAAATAGTCATATGTCACAAACCTCGACGATTGGCAGGAAGAAAAAAAAACATGATGGCGTCGATTCGAAATTTTTCATCAGCCATCAATATACATACAGTGGGCTAGATCCAGTTCCTTTTATTACTTGCGTGGGAAAGTCACACGCAAGAGAGTTCCAGAAATAACTTTGTTGTTGTCTTAATGTAAAGATTCGTTTCGTATATTTAAAACAAATAGTCGAATGACTCAACATAAGCTCGTGATGCCCACCAGTGATTATCTCTGCAGAAGTGTTGCAAATTCAATCTCCCACGTAATGCGGCATGTGAATGCGGAAGTATCTGGAGCCGAAAAGCGAAAATGAATACACTTCGTTTATAAAGTACAAGTTTCATATCTGTCAAGTGATGGGATTCAAAATTTTAAGAACGCTTTTTTACCTGAATACACTAACAGCAGGTTCCCTCTTCAAAAAACTATACCACTACTATGGGTACGAACGAAGTATGTGAACCAAGATGGCGGACTCCGGAACGTAGTATGTGTATCAGGTTAGGGTTAGGCCTTAATTACAGGTACAAATACTACGGGAGTCACTTGGCTAGTCCCTAAGGAAAATTGGAATAAAATTATGGCCTAAACCTAACCTGGTACACATACTACGTTCCGGTGTCCGCCATCTTGGTTCACAAACGACAGGAGTACCCCATCAAAAATGGTTTGCACACACCCCTAAATCCTCAGACTTCTCACAAAAGGTCCTCGCACAATCCATTTTTTAATGTCATGTAGATCAGGGACGTAGCCAGGAATTAAAAAGGGGTTCTGAAATTGTCAATTCCCAAGACCGGAGGCCGAAATCGTGGGTTTTCAAGTCTTTGAGGGTCTAAGATGTGTTTGAAGCTCCAAAAAATATGCTATGTATGGTACGGAACATTTCAAAAGGAGGGAGGGGGTCCGACCCTCAACCCTCCCCATTGGTTACGCCTCTGAAGCAAACTATACAAACTACCAGTGGCGTAGACAGGAGAGTGGTTTTGGGGGTCGAACCCCCCCCCCCTTTTGAAAAGTAAAAAAAATTAAATTATTTTTCTGTATCATAATTAGCAATTATCCGTAGCTTGAAATGCTTTTTAGACCCCAAGACTACTAAAAACACGCGTATTCCAGCGTTCGATCGTACCCGCTAGCTGTTGGCAAAAAAAATTTCAGAATCCCCCCCCCCTTTGAAAACCACTGTCATTGACCCACTTCAATAAAATATGATCAGTACCGACACTAGTTTTAATTGAGATTCAAAAAAATAATATTTCACAGCAGTAGTTAATCACCAGGCAACTCCGTCACTATAAGCTTACAATCACGACAGCCTCATGCAGACAAGTTTGAATCGGGAGGGGGGATTCCCTAAATGATATTTACGAAGGTGACATACAGGTACAAATTGTCGAATTAATACTCAAAGAATGATAAATAAGATTCATATATCTTAATGTTGCTTGAGTCTTCACATGATATTAAGTCGTCACTATGTATGACATCACTATCTATGACGTAACATATCGCATCGGTTTCTTAAAGTCTTTGAGTGGATTCGTTCATAGTTAGGACTGGAATAAAATATGGAATGTACAATAAAAATCTCACATCAGTGTTTAGTGTTGCCAGAAATACCCTCTTTAAACCATATTTCAGAGTGATATTTAGAAAATCTCAACATCAATAAGCATGCTCAATTTGGCAACACGGGAATAGCATGATACTTACAATTAATAATTTTTCACGAAATAGAAAAAATAATAAAAACGAAATAAAAACTACTGAAGGCTATACAGTTTATGACGACACAATAAAAAATTTGAAAAATGCAACAATTACAGTAGTATCTGACTACCAAAACTTCTCAGTAAAAAGAAGCCGAGGTGTTACCACAATATTTCACACTAACAGGACCCTAGAGAAGCACTTTTTAACATGTATAAAGCTACTTAAGTTTGAAATGATCGAGAACTCGACAGTTTAGAACATGGGGTTCCCAAACTTTATTGGCCGCGGGCCAAAATCAAAATCGGAAGGATGTTCACGGGCCGGAAGAAACATGTTTGTTTGACTCATAATGGCGCTTTATGTCGTATTGCCACAGAACTGGAATAGTTCGTAGGCAAAGAAAACAAATCGCGTAAGTTTGATTTTCTTTTTCAATCCAGAAATTCGAGTCTTCGAACCTTTTTTACATGGCTGAAAACCAAATTACTGCCTATGCAATCCTAACACCGGCAGGTATAATTGAGATACTTATATAATCGAAATGCTATGATAGACACGAGCTTAAACTGTGATAATGACATAACAATTGGAGGTTTCTAGATTGCAAAAAGGTAGAAACAAAATCTGTTTCACAATTCCACTTAAGCTCGGCGGGCCATTTAAAATCGTTACGCGGGCCAGATTTGGCCCACGGTGTGGGAACCCCTGGTTTTAGAATAATCTAGTTTTTTAATAAGGCGCAGTTGAGTTATATTTGGTTAGAACTTGAAGAATCCAAAGTAGATTCATTTTGCTCCCAGCAAGCACATATTACTAACATCTATAATGTGTTTATTTTACAAGAGCCCCAGATCATGAAAGTTTAAAAACTAATTCTTCAGGTCAGGGCTCTTCAAACTTGGGGGTCTTCTGCAACCCTCAACGTGGGTTGCGAAATGGCTCGTTCGGAGACACAGTAAGAAATTTTTTGACAATAACTTATGTTAAAACAAAATATTGACCAAATTTGAAAGATTTGGAACCAGTATGGAGATACATCATCATCGAAATGGAGCTAAAATTCGATCTCTTGTGCGAGAATATGCAAGCACATCGGCCTCATTAGAGGTATTATCAATTTCACTTTTTTTTATTTTTATTAATGAGGGGCACGTAAAAATTTCGTCGTGCCAAGTGGGTCGTGGTGAATGAAAACTAATAGGTTATACATACTCAGAGATACCAGTGTAATTATTGTATTTTTCTAACAACATACAAACAAGAATTTGGTCCACATCCAGCTCATATATATATATAAATGATTTACATTGGTTACGAAATGCTGCAGTGAAATACAATGTTAAAAATAACATCAATTTGCTGTATTTTTACAAAAAGTGTTTGAACACACCGATTAGCTCTTAACAAGACTCTTGACAAGCAGTTATAGGTTACTTTTTGCAAATCAGGACAGTGAACAATGTGTTATCCCAAATTGTTAAGGAATGGTATTTTAACAGCGGTCCAAGAGTGTTTTGTAAATTCACATATTGTATGCTTCCATGCCATTTACATTTGCCATGGTCTAAAATTGTTTCACAAGTGGAATAAGACATAAGATAGGAATTTAATATTCGACCTAGAGGAGAGGAAAGCGATAAGATGGTTTAATCATATGGCTAACAACGGCCTCTTATTTTTATGGCACCTCAGTACTCCACACAACAAATGGGATGAATCTAATGTTGATAAGGCTATGCTTTATAAGTGATAACAAAAATCGAGTGTTCATAACATGGTAAAAGCTGGCAACAGTCATTTTGGAAGCAATGTTATAGGAATTGAAATGGTCGATAATTTTTTACAGAAATTTCTTCTTCTGTGTCATCAAGACATAATAAACCAATGTTAGAGATATTATATATAGGGTGCATACTGTATTGGCAAAACAATGTAATTCCAAATTTCTAGATAAAAGAGAAAAACTTGATCCGAACATGATATGTTTTTGCAGTATAGAAGTTCGAAAGTTCTACAATTTGTTTTATTTTGCTAATACCGTTTGTGCACTATATATCTTCAGCAGGCACAAAATATACTGGCATTCACACAAAAAATTAATAAAAAAACAACAAAAAAATCCTTTTGGCTTGAAATCAAAGAGGAATGCCAATAATTATAAGGAATGTAGCAAAATAATGATGCTAAAATAAAGAAAAAAGCACAATGGAAAGAAAAACAAAACAAGAAAGTGACTATACACCAATATCATGCTTTTTTACGACTAAGCCATGAAAAATAAGATGGAAAGAGAAAATTCTCTAGAATGAATGAATGCATTTGGGTAAAGTTACACCCAGAAATACAGATGCCACATATTATAATAGTTTCGATCACATTTATCACAAAAGCAATGTGTCATGCCTGGAATGGCAGTATGGCTGGTCAGATGTGTAAAATGGAAAGATGGTTGAAATCTACATTGTTGGTGCCGCATCAGGAAAGAAGCATAACCAAAGATTATTGAAGCCATGACTGTGAGTTTGGTTCGTAGTTGGGCATTTTATCACTGAAGTCAGTATTTATGATTAATAAAAAAAAAACAGTCAAATTTTATCTAAGTGTATGTACTAAGTGATTTTTACATTCTATTAAACAAGACTTGCATATGCCAAAGTCCGAGACAAATTTTTTACAATTCTTGAGTCTGGGTTCGAATTTTCCTCAGCATGGCGTTTTGGTCATCAAAATTTGTTTTACATCCCGAAACAGGGTCAATATTAAATTTCCCTGAACTCACAGTTCTGGTACAGAGCAATAAATTTTAGCTTGCCACCACCCTTCAGATCTCAACTTGATCTGATCATATCATTAGGACAGGCCGAGTGCTCCAAATATCCATAAGCGAACCAGTTGAAATATTTTTTGCATAATTCTTGGGAGAAAGTTTTGAACTCAGTCAACGGGACAATAAACATTCAAAAATCAATTTCTAATTTCAATACAATTTAGGTTTATATTCCATGAGTAAACTTGATAATTGAAAATGGCAAAGCAGTAAGATTCATATTCGAATATACTGTTCATTTTGTTGAAAATATTGCAAAAATAATAACTGATCTGATCTTGGCCAGACCTGGATGCGTGGCTGTAAATTAATGGCAAAGAAAATATTTGAATATTCTTTTCATTTTGTAAAAAAAAATATCCAACCATCAAATATTTTATCTGATATTGGCCAGCCCTGGATATCGCAGGGAGCACCATACAGATTCATCCAAAACAATTTTATAAGACAATCATGATGATAAAAGTGGGATTCGACCAAGAAACCGTGATTTCTAAATGAGGTGGAAACACTACACATACAGCTTTGTGAAGTCCAATTCTCTCTTCAAAGAATACTAACAAGAAAAGTCAACCACTAAGTGGAACGTAGTAAAATCACACATCAGCCAATCAGAAGGCTTGTTTCTAGTCACATGACTAAACTTGAGCTTTCGAAAATGAAACTCTCAAATGATTGGAATCGCTCAACTTGAAATTGTGGAGATTCTGAAAAGAAGAAGTAAAATTTTTATATAGAATATACAGTTCTATGCTATCTTTAAACAAAGAATTGACAAGGTCAAGTTTATTTTTTCCGGAAAGTAAAAAATACCAGTCGACACAAATTACAAGATAATTTACAGTTTCACTGGGGAAGGGAAGTCACAGGGAACCAAAGATGGTTATTAAGCAGCGACACCAAAGGTTCGAATATCTAATATTGGAGTTTTAAAACTAATGATGTTGACAGTAAGTACAGTATCTCAGACAGACCTGCGTCAAATCTAAAATTAGCTAAAACGCACTTTCAGAATTTGAATTTTAAAAATATATTTTTTCATAAATCAAAAAAATAGAAATGTTTCACAATATTCATCATACATTTTAAATGTATTTCTCGAATGAAAGCCGAAAGGCCTTTGTGAAGATTTAATCATTATTGAACCAGAGGAAGCCAGATAGAAGGTCAGCAATGTCCACCTAATTTATTACACGCCTAGTAAGGGTGAGATTTGAACTAGATGTTCTTAATCTGTGATGCACTGAGTGTAGTTTAAATCAGTTAGGGTTCTCTAAGTTGATTGACCTGGCCGGGCCAAAATTAGAAGCAGAAGGATATTCCTGGGCGGGAGTGGGAAGCGCCACAAGAATCCGGTACCAATACCGGTTCGCTTATTTAAGATATCGGTAAATTTAAAATGTGCTTAAACTGTGATAATGACGTAACAATTCACAGAAGAACACAAAAAGGTAAAGACATGAAGTGTTTTCAAACTCTTTCACTCGAGTTCGACGGGCCATATTAAATCGCTTCGCCGGCTTTGGAACTACTGATATAATTTAAAATTCCATATTATTAGCAATCGACCATACTCCTAAAACTCTTCACAAATCCAAAGTAACTCAACCTACCACAAGTGCTTCCACAGCCTCTTCTACTGACATCAATTGTATCAATGCCATACGACGATCTTTCCTGTTGTAACAATATAGAATTAATTATTAGCCACAATGAAAAGATATCATAAATAACAGAAATAGCGGACATTTTCACCCTGGATCCCAAGGATCTTTGAATATAATAATTACAGGCCACATTGTAACCAGTGGTTCGCCATCACTGGAATAGAACAACAATGCTCTTTCGGAACCTTCATACATTTTAGTAAATCCAATCCTTATGCTTTTAGCAGGTTAGCCCCCTCATACTTGATATAATACAAGTATGAGGTCATATTGGCAGATATGTACATTTCTTGCATGAAAATTTGATCAGAGAAAGGTCACATGCACTCACTTAGTGAGCAAAGTGATGCCAGTTCTACTGAAGTGATGAAGTTCTACTGAAAACATAGAATTCTCCGGTGTTTGGTCTCCGTTAATTCACACTATGTAGTTTTAAATTATGCCAGAATATAAAAGAAATTACCATGCAAAGAACTACAACTGCTCGAACATACGGACCCTGTGATCTATTCAAACAGACATTGCCTTCACATGAGAGGATAAAGCACTAAGACTGAAACACTTACTACTACTCGCCTAGCCTTACAATAATAAAAATACTGAAAAAACGGTGAAAGATTCAACGCAGCGACAAGAACAAAAAACATTATGCATTTTTATCCATTTTAAAAATAAATTGTCGAATTAGGATTTTATGCTTGATGGGGAAACATTCTTGAGTGTTGACAAGGGCATCACTAAATGGCTTGGCGGGCCAGATTGTGGCTCGCAGGCTGCCTGTTGAACAGCCCTGCTATAGAGTGATAGTTTCAGAAGAATGAAATGCCAATAAAACAGATTATCGTGCAAAGAACCCCATGACCGCTCACACATACAGACCCTGTGATATATTCAAACAATTATTGCCTACACAAGAAGATGGGATACTTACTGGAAAAACTTGAATCCTTTTACTGTTCCGTATTTAGAAAACTGTTCCTTCAAGAAATCTTCTGTAATGTCAGCTCTGTAATGACAAAAATATGGAAAAATTACTTTAGCTTGAGTGATAAGCAGTGTTCCCTCTAAGGTGTGCGCGTGCACACAGCTTTCAGAGGCTGCGCACACGCATAGGTTTACTGCGCACAGACGTATTTCGATGTAATGTAACTATGTGCTTGGTTGGCAGGTTGAGAAAGTTTGTTGCTGGCCCACTTATTAGCCGGTTAAAACCCAAAATTTCTTCATTGTTTTTTGCACAAATATTATTCATTTCCAAAAAAGTGCGCACACACCAAAATTTCTGCGCACACATACTACAAAAAATTAGAGGGAACATTGGTGATAAGTTTTGTAACTTCAAAATATCCACAGATATGATAAGGAAAAGTGTTTTCAATTTTATTCAAGTTTAAAAAACTACAAGCAAAATGAGTTGACCGCTGACATGCCAGGTGCTATTTTAAAGTTTATAATTATGACAGATATTAGTAGTTTAAAAGACTTCAAATGAACTCTGTCGGGGAAAATACACAAACGTGAAACATCAAATAGGAATAACAAATTCAAACTTTTTACAAGATTTTAAAAACTATGAGCAAATAGCTAAAATTCACAAAAAAGCCTCCATGATTTAAGCAAAAAACCTTATTTTGGCAGGGTCTTAAAACATTCAATTCATGGTGCATTCCTCCTAAAAATGAAATAAAAAGTTAAAACAACTCACGGAATGTTGGACAAATGAAGGACTTGTGAAGGAGGGTAAATATTCTGAAAATTCTTGGAACCAGGTTTCTTGAACCGATGAAGAGAGGAGTTTGTATAATCCTGAATAGTAATGTTTAAATATTTAATTTCCAACCTTCACTTCTGAAGAAGCCGAGCCCTAGACAATAGGTTGGCAAAGAGCATATGCAAAAATTGTTACGCCACACCGACTGAAACTTATTGTTGCACTAAACTACACGAGGCCTGCTGTCAGTACCAGGGCACTAGGGATGGGCATTTTCGAATACCTGATGATTTCAGAATCAAATCGAATAATTTTTTCGAATCGAATCTCGAATACTTGGAAGGTATGATATTGTATGTAACTTTCTTATTAGTTTAGGTCCTCCATACACAGAAATTACTGAACACATAGAATACATAACTGACAATAAAAAAAACAAGTTTTTATCAATACCTCAATACAGAAAAGAGTTATATGTCAGAATTGTGTTTGAAAAATATGGCTTCAATGAAAAAAAAATTGAGAAATTTACACCGACCATTGGCGAAAAGAGTAAAACAAGATGGCGACGGTTCGAAATTTTTGCTCTAGAATAATTTATTATTCGATTCGATTTGAATATTCGATTTGAAATGCCCAGTCCTACGCTATGTTACATCAACAAACTAACCTGTGTGAGATTGGCGGCCTCTTGGCCTTCCCTTGGCATTTGTACTTGACTGTGCTTCGATAAGACAACATGCATCTGCTTGCCGAAGAGTTTCACTCCATTCAAGTGTCTCAGAGCTGAAAAAGAGGATTCACAACATTTGTATGACTATATTGGTGTTTTTCTGGAATAGGATTTACATATTCATCTAAGGGGAGAGAAAACCGAAAAGACGGCTTAACGTGCCCTGTTGCCCTCGTCCAGTTGCCAGTCCAAGTTGGGTATGGGTTTTCTCGCTGTAAAGAAGCATGATGATGTGCCATGATTAGCATTAGGAACACACTAGCATTTGCCCAGATTTAATAAAACCATAAAATGTTGATGCACTAAATGAGGTTTTGTTATAAGCTCTCAACGATAGAAGATGAATGAGTAAGCTGTTGTTATTGGCTATACCAGGATTTTGAAAAGATGGATCCTGGGACATTCCAGGGGTTTACAGAGCAATTCTTCAAGTACCCGTGGGACAAGGCCTCCACTAGGAACCATTCGCATTGACCACACTAATTAATTAAAAGCTTACTGTGATTTATTTATTTAAATACTTGGTCATAATAGATTTATTTTTTACTTTTGATTGTTGACTTTTTAATAGTAAATGTGGCGAATAAAATAAATAATGGAAAACACATTAAACAAAATTACATTTTTTTCGTCGAGGTTAAGGCGATGTTGATAGGGTTTCAAAATAGGGATTATACGAATAATTCTACAGGAAACGTACCTAATTGTGCCTGTGTGCCATCGTTCATTTGCACTAAAGCACTGTCTTTCTTCTGATACAAGATTTTCACACGAATACAATCCCCGTATACACCTATGATTCAATGAATATGGTTATGAGAACGCTACGATGGAAGTAACGAGAGAAACAGAAAGCAGAGACGGAGGTCAGAAAGCAGGGATTATCCCCAAATCAGGGGACATATAGGAATAGTTTACAAAGAAGTGTAGTAGTATACAGGGTGTTCATAAAGTCCTTCTACAATTTCAATTTTGTCATGAAATCAGTTCTTCATATATCTTAACCAGGTTTGTTTTATTTTAATCAGTAATTGTTCGGGTCTTTTCACTTCATTTAATACAATTTTACATGCCCGCCAATTGTTGCAGAAAGCAAAGTTATTTTACGGACTTTATGAACACCATGTATAACTTATATTGTGAGCACTGCTGGAAATTATGAACGCCGTTAAGTGGTATATATGCAGTGAAGGAATATCTAATGTAGACTATAATCAAAAATATAGTTAATTCATTCAGAGATTTTATCATTTCAGAAAACGTCAGAGTCGCTAGGATAGGTATATATACTCATAGGAATGAGGCCAAAAGTGTCCTAAATCTAAGTGTAATTTAGTGTTAATATAACTTATTTAAAATCAATTCTGATGTTTGAATTCGATTTAGACATAGAAGTCACATGGATTTTAAAAATAAAAAATATTTTGAGAAATATCAAGTTTTATTCGGAAAATAATAATATACCGGTAATTCATATCACAATTTAAGATTTATATAATAGAAAGGGAGCATTTAATGGAAGAGCCCACAATAAAGTACTTTACATTAATGACACCAAGTTTTTTCACTTCAATTATTCAAATGCTAACTAAATATAGTGAGTTCTATCAAAATTTCAACTGAGATATTATAATTGTGCAAAATGAAAATTAGGACAAATGTAAAATAACATAACTATTTTTTTTAATTTAGGAAAAACTCAAGAATCGATTCTCATATAAGAGACAAGAATTTCTGAACAGCACAGAAATATCTAGATAAGGAATATAGATAAGATAAAGATAAAATATAGAGATAAGATAAGACATACCAAACAGTATAAAGAGGACTTGAGGTGTAACCATCTGTAGAATAACAGGAGAATGAGTCAGCATTTTTCAGAGTGAATCAGCAGTTTTCCAGACCAGAGACGAGGCAGCAAAGAGTAGGACCATTAGGGTCGGAGGTCAAATTTAAAAGGTCATAAGGTCAAATTAATTAGGGTTAATTATAATTACCAGATTACAAATAGTTATAGCAGGTGTTAGGGTATAGTGCAGAGGGGAATTTTTTATAAATTTGATTTTTTTTTCAAATTGTGAAGGTCGAAGTTCACAGTTCATAGGTCATAGTAACCAGAAGAGTTCCGTAGTCGCAGAGATGAAATAAAAATAGAGAATCTTCATTACGAAAAGAGTTCTTTTTTAATTTAATTCAAATTGGCCAATTATATAATTCAGTGACTGATATAGGAGGTAATGGTGGCTAAGCTGAAGACAACAGAAAGACTTGCTTTAAAATTTGAGAAGAGTTTTATTAAAATTAAAGAAATGATGATAAACAGTCGAATTGCTGTATATATTTATACTTGCAGATGTGAGAGATTGCGCAGATGTTTAATGATGTGATTTTGGTTTGATTTAGTTTTCAGAAAATGTAGAAACATTTTTTTACACAATTTGACCATTGATGCCGAAATGAATTCACAAAAATTCAACATGATTTCCAATTTTGATGAAACCTGATTCAGATTATTTATGATCAAAATATTTTTCGTAGGGGTAAATTCATCAAATTACAAATACCAACTCAGAAATACACGACAAAAATGAATGTTCCCTTCAGCAAAACCACCATTAATAATAGAATTATCAAATATTTGGTGTCTGAGTAACTTTAAAAAAAAAACTTACGTCTTGATTGAGATTAGACACATGTAGGACTGTGTTTTGTTGGAGTCCAGTGACTGCAGCAAGCTGAGCTGCTATTGCTGCATTGGTGAAAGCCGCTCCAGTGAGATCTGAGTAAAAAGAAGAATTTGTAATAGGATTGAATAAGAGAAAGTTTATTATTGGGATGAAATAGGATTTCATATTAATTTAATAAACTAGAATTCGGTTAGAAACCGAAGACTTATCGATCGAAGGTTAGGGTACCCCCCAAAACAGTGGTCTTACTCTATAGTGACACCATGTGTCCCATCACTAATTAATTGATAACTCGCTAATTATACAACATAATCCATCCAAAAGCAATAGGCTTCTGATCCGAGCTAAGATGAATGCACATGTAAAATTTGGAGCAGATTGAACCTAGCTTTTGTGAGATATCGCGTGCATCTAACACACAGACATACAGACAAATACCGATCAACATACTTACCGATCAAGATCGATAAGTAAAAAAGGAGGCCTATAAGAGGTCTTGACTGTATAGTGAATCAAGGGCTCATGTTTGGTTACTGGTCCATACAAGGTAATGGTTTACCAGTTATTGTCAGACTTCATGACTGAGTAGCTGACCAGTCAGCTGATACTCAAAAATAGGATGGGATTTTCATATTTATCTTGGAGAAGAAGCCGATAAGACGACTTGATCATGTGGCGAACCACGGTGCATGCTGGATGTGGGAATAGTTAGCCAGTTAGTTTACCCAGATATAAGTACATTGTATGCCAAATAGTACAACAATGCATGAGATTTCAGTATAGACTAGAATTTTTTTGTATTATTTTTAAAGTTGTTAAATCGACTTCCTGAATACGCTCATGCAGAATATATATATATATATGAAATGAGGGCACTCCAGAAGTAGGTGTACTAATATAGAGGTAACTAATTTTGTTCGCCTACTTTACATCAAGTTGTGTAAAGGGACTGAAACATATGGGCATGGGGTATATTGACTTGGCTAACATACACAGTCCCCGAACTCGTAATAAACTAAAACTAGAGAATTTAAAATCAAATTAGGGCCTAACCGTAACCTGGTACACACACTACGGGAGTACCAAAATGAGAGTATGTTTATTCATTTGTACAGTCCTCTAAAATTGGCAGTGCAGTGCTCGAAATGCTCAAATTTTTTATCTGTCACCCTATCCAAAACCAAAGGCCATGAAATACAGTATGAAACCAAGATTCACCTTGAGCTCCCAGAGCACCTTGTAAATACTGAGCAGCAGTTCCTGATGACAGAGCTGCAGATAATGTTTGTGCGTTCAATCCTGCAAAGTTATTGTTTTGAACTTGTGAGTAAGGGTTCGGCATTAGGGCTGATGTACCTGGAAAAAGAATTGAGTATTAAGTTGGAAAAAGACCAACAGACACTGGAACAATGGTGCAACCAGGATGGGTTTTAGGGGTCTGATGAAGTGAATGCCTTAACTGCTCAAACAACGCCAAACAAAGATGCGATGTGAAGTTTTGATGTAATCACAAATAAAGTCTTTTTGACACAGAAATTTTTTTTTCAAGCATGCGTTTAGTTCAAATAAAACCTCCTCAATTTTTGACTAGGCAAATATGTCCCATGCTGTTTAGGGTATCGTGTACGTGCAAGACTTTTATTTTAAAAATGAAAATTTGGGTTGAATTTCCACACCACATTTGTGTTTGGCGTATATATATATATATATATGTACGAAGAAATATACATGCATAATCATTATACCTGAATACATATCAGCACCAGCCAAAACTGATTGCAGAGCTGCAGACGGGTCAAGTGTTTCCCCTGAAGGTAGATCAGATCTTGTGTAATCTCTGCTTTTATCGTTGTTGTATTTTACATTCAGTGCCGCCATCTTGCTGTATTCCACTCTCAATGTACAACAGGAATTATAGATGTTCTGGCCATCAAGAGACTAAAAAGGAAAACAACATCTCAGATTTGAACAAGACTCTATTTACTAAATGCTATCTGAAGTCCCATGTTTCTGACTTGCACTGGCCTTGCACAAAAAAGTTAATAAAGATCAAAAAGTATCGATATCAGGAGGGACTGCATTAATGTGAATTTCATAAATCAATTCTCTAATGCAGGAATGGCCAACCTGCAATCGGCTGATCGGCAATAAGGTCATGCTCCAAACGAATGAGTACTGACACACACAGACAACTGCACACTTGCATACAAAAACTTCTACCGTGGCCAATAAGCTTTACTATGAGTACGCACGCATTCTTAATGAAATCGCCACAAAAATTTGTATATTCCATGTTCAATTTAATTTGTTAATTTGATTATGTATTTGTACTGGATTTATTCAAATTATACATTTCAGATTCAAAGTCTGCCTAATTTCTAGTCAGAAATGTTCTCAAAAAACCTTGCCAAGTATGCATGTATTATCTTAACAATATATTCTCAAACAATATAAGTTAAATGGCCGCTAAAACTTTAGTATACCGCATTCAATTTGAAGGTTGCTTTATTCAGCGACATGAAATAAATAATTTGAATATGGCGCGAACATTCCGAAGTAAAAAAAGCATAATATCTCACCAGTTTCGCTGTCTGTGACTGAACTGCATCTCCCATTTGTATCAATGCTTGAAACTGATCTATAAAATAGAGAAACAATGTTGAACAAAATAGGTAAAAGTGAATACAAAAGTAGGAAATTTACAAATACTGGTCACAGATTTCTACATGATAACCATCTTAGAGTAAAAATTTTGTTACATTGTAAAGCATACTGCTTAAGACAGACAATTTACAAATGTGTGGACACTATATTTCAGCATTAATTTTGCTACAAATTTGGAAAACTGAAGCGCATGCCATTGTTCAGCCTTGTTAAATTTATGTCGGTATAAAAGACAAACTTATAATAAAAAAGTGATAAAAAGGATACAAAAAACATTGCAAGATAATTCATCTTATGAGAAATTATTATCTCATTGACCAATTCACATACAGAAGATAATAGATAACATTCTGTTACCAGCAATCAACTTAAATAATATTTTGAACAATTGTACGTTTTTGAGTTCAACACTAATTTCATGTGATTAGCTTTTTTATATACTCCATGTCATGGGAATATTGGCAACACAATATACCACACAAAATAACCTATCATTAGGTATACGTTAACACTGTCATTGAACCACCTGTATCCACTTATTAAAGTTACCATGTGACCACATATTTAGTGAAAATTGCATCAAAACAAAAAAAACGTTACAAGCTATAGAAAAATTGCTACGAATGATACATAAAAATGCTTTCTTCATTTTTCAAAAGCGGGGTCACGACCCCCACACCACCCTGCCATTTGATAATGTCGTTTTATCGTCTTTCCTCTACCCAGAATAAAAACGATATTTTATCTTAACCATAATTATTAATTCAAAAAGCAAAAAACGAACAACTTACTATTCTTAGTGAATGTGATGATCTTCAATACAACACCAAATTTCGAGAAGATTGTATGCAGAACATCCAGTGTGACGGGATAGATCATATTTTCAACAACAACTCTCAGTACATGGTTGGTTCCACCCTCTGTTTGTTGGAGTGCTTGCAACACCGCTTGTGCTTTCTGAAATTAGAATCAAGATAAGATTTATATATTTACCCTGGGGGAGAGAAAAGTCGATAAGACGGCTTAACCATATGGCGAACCACTGCCTTTCGTCCGGTTACCAGTCCATGTCGGGTATGGGTTTAGTTAACTGTTTATTTAATTTCGGAAGCATGGATTTACTGGTTGAGGAAGCCGTAAGGGACCAGTGGTTATGTGAACCATACGCGAGGCGAGAGGTCCAGCAATCCTCTTGCACATAACTATCCACACATGGGATTCGAAGCTGTGAACCCTCGCAGGGTAATCGGCACCACACTGCTGAATCAGTGAAAACAGGTTGCAGAAAAAACTAAATTGAAGATGTAAAAAGAACCAAGCAGGATAAGAAGTTTGTTACACAGCTCTCCAATGCCTCCTCAGAAAAAAAAAACCGACTACTTTGTAAAGAAAATTTTGTAAGCGACTGCTGTACTATAAAACATTAAGATGTATATTTATTGGATATGGATTTCTGTCATGAAAGTTGCATAACTCCTGGATTTCTGTAAGACACTCACCAACTGATTAGGAGAGCTATCTGTCTTTAGTTCTTTATGATTTGAGTATTGAACATAAACCATTCTTTGTCTGATGGAAGGCGGAGATAAACTGCAGGTTGTCACCATACGTTGGGCTGTTTCATCATCCTCCATCTCAAGGAAAGCCTGGTTCTTACCCTGGAAAGGAAGTAGTTAGTTTAGATCAGGGGCGTGAAACAGACGACCCCCGCAAGCCACAATGCCGCCCGGCACGCCATTTAGTGTGGTCCTTGTCAACACTCGCAGAATTTTTTCGCCATCAAGCTTGACATCCTAATACGACAGGTTTATGTTTGAAAAATCGCACACATGGATGAAAATGCATTAAATCTGTTTTAAAAGATATTCCTCCCAAATTTTACTTTGATTTTATTTTGTCCTCCTTTGATTCATTCATTTTTATTTTGTTAATCTAGAAGGGAATAATCATACCAGAGAAGATTGCTGGGATCCTCATCAGACAAGATTTGTCACATCATAAAGCCCTCTTACACCTCTCCTCAAAATGTGGAAATTTTACGGCCCTCCCGAAGTATGTGCACCAAAATGGCGCACAACCTGAACCCTAACCTTGTAGACATACTATGTGCACCAAGATGGCGCACAACCTGAACCCTAACCTGGTACACTTACTATGTTCAGGATGTGCGCCATCTTGGTGCACATATTTCTGGAGCTCCAATTTTACTACTAATATGTATCGGATTATCCAGAATAAAAATTACCTTTAACATAAGAACATTGGTAACTCTTCCATAGTTCAAACCAAGTTGTATAACTTCGGAATCAGTAACGTCTGTGGGGAGGCTTCGAAGATGGACAACTTTAGATACCGCACCTGGGTCTGTCTTGATCTGTAAATGAAAAGGACAAAATGCTGCTTTCAAAAATACTGAAACTTGACGACTGATTAGAGTAGTGTCATGAACCGATGAACGACCGATGCTTTTTCTCAGTCTGTGAACAATAAAACTAACTACAGACTATATCGTCGACTACAGTTATTGAAGGTTTAAGAACTTAATAAAATAACTAGAATAGTAGTATGATCTTATTAAGAAATTAAATAAAAAAATTTCTACCTTCTTTGCTCCATTATCTATTGATCCAGCCATCAAATGCGAGACATCTTCACTGTTTCTCTAAAAACAAAAACAAAAACATTTGAAAAATTTGAAGAATCCTGAATTTTGTCTTCCCATTTATAAAACTTTGTTTTTCCTTTACTTCAATTCTCTTTAAACTATTCACACTTTACACAAAATCACAGGTGACAGGTATTATAAATGCTAATATTGTAACATGAAAAATCACAAATAAAAAACATACAACCAGGCGTAGTTAGAGTAGGTAAGTAAAACAAACTAGTAACGGCATTATTTACAATTTATTGCCATTTCATCACTTCCACAGGTTATAAGAATCACATACAAAAATTTAACAAAATAGAAAAACCTCAAATATAATATAAAAACATATTTAAAGATGTTTATTGAAGTTTGCACCTCCTCCAAGCCACTGTTTCCATCGTACTGTAAACCATTTTGCATATTATCAAGTTTATTAGAAGTAGATATATTAGCCTCATTATTCAGAACTTAATTTTTTTATTTTATATTAGCGCAAATTACTTTTTACCATTTTTTGTTAAATATTATTGGTCAAAATTGTAGTTTCCATTCTTCATCAGCAACAAGTATAATAAATTCAATGATTTGAAAAAGTGTTTGTTAATACGGTATATAACAGCTTTTTTATTTTGAATACTTCCAACCAGAAAAACTCTGATCACATTTCTCTCAATAGGCCTAACTATTTTTTGTTAAATTTATTTGCGCAAGGGCTCTAATTTCATAAATATAGTAAACGATGAACGAAATTTAAAGTTTAATCAATAATTTGATTGGTCAAATACTTGATAACAAATAAAAACTAATGTATTTATTCATTTCTATTACTTTGGTTTGAACTATGAACATGTTCCTCTAATCACTTTAAGATACATCACTTAAAATAGTATTATGATGCCACAGCCGCAACCTAAAACACCAATATGTCATCATAATCTTGTTAGGTACTTATATATCCATTTCAATCTTTGTTAGCAAACAAACAACAATAGTGTGAAAGTGTTTGTTTGCTCATACTTGTGTGAAGTGCATCAATAGTTCAATTGACCAATAGAAAGTTCACATGTTTTAAACGTTATGTCACAATGAAGTACCACATGGTCAGTGTATATGACCTTAAATGACCCCAAAACAGAAAAATTTGAGCAAAATAGAAAACTAGAATTCAGAAATACAACATCAGTAATAATAAAACAATTCGCCTAAAAAGAGTTGTATGAAGAGAATTTAATTAGACACAATTTTCTAGTTTGTTAACCCAGAAAAGATCTTGGAAATTGTTATTATTGAGACAGGAAAATAACTCCAAAGCTAATTGATAGGCGGTAGCTGAGTAAAGAGGAAAGAAAAGTAAGTACTTGTGGCCTCATCTCTAAGAGAAGTGATCTATGACCAATGGAATGCCAATCGCCAGTGAAACTATATAAACCACTACATAAAAAAAATTGGGCCCCCAGAAGTATGTGCACTAAGATGGCGCACAACCTGAACCTATTATGTATACCAGGTTAGTGTTCAGGTTGTGCGCCATGTTGGTGTACATACTTCGGGAGCGCCAGAAAATTTATGTACCAGCACATGCTGATTAACTTGAAGATGGAAATACAGGGTGTCCATAAAGTCCCTTCACAATTCCAATTTTGTTATGAAGTCATTACTCAATATATTTTAACCGGGTTTGTTGTTTTTTAATCAGTAATTGTTTAAGATTTTTACTTCATTTAATACATCTGTGAGAACCTGTCCAACGTATTTATACAGTGCTTTTATTACTAAATAAATACCCTAATTGTTATGATGGCTTGTCACAGTTGTCAGTCACCAAATTGCCACTCCTATACACAATGGCTAAATAGAATGATCACACATCACAGTAATGTTGTTATTGCTTGATAATTACAAAAAAAATGTTTTGATCGTCATCTATTATTAAAAATACTGGTGTATAACTCTTGATTGCACTACAATAAAGAAATCAGTAGCCTACTTGAATTTCAGCTAATATTAATTGAAAATGCCATATTTGACAGGATAGGCCGATAACGGTTAAAAGCGAAGACATCCAGCCTTGCTTATCGATCGGAACAATGACAGACATCTGTTGGACGGAACAAATTATTGTTGATATTGTCTCGAAATAATAACAAATGTGACCTTATGTTACGTCACAATATTTGTCAAAACGATGTCAAAATATTGAATAAGTATGTGAGACGATTTCAAACGACTCGTGTCATCAAGATAACAAAACAAATTAATTAAAAATGTGACATTCTAATATAAAATTGCGGTGTTTTAGTACTGTTTGAAGGCGCGAGGAAGGATGCTATATTACTATTTTCCACGACCGGCTAATGCGTTTAACAACGAAACACGGCAATGTATATTTCGTGGAATGTAATTAAAGTCGATCATGATTGCACGATACTAATTAAAAAGCATTGAATCGAGCGAAAGCTCGCTATTGCCGATGTACAGTCGGGTGTATAAAAGATTTGTATAACGGTACAACCGAAAAAATGCACTCCATTACCGATCCAAATTCAAATGTACATACCTAATCGTTAAAAAAGAAAAAATGAATTTGCCTCACGAAATTTAAATGCACGTATTCTCAAAGCAAAATCTCAGGTTTCGTTTACTGTTACAGGTACACGCTCCGTTGCAGTTGGCAATCAAAGCCGTTTTAAAACGCCTTGACGACATTTCCGTGTTTCCAAAATAATGTAATGCACTCCTCATCGTGACGCCAACGAAGCATAGTTGTATTAAATTGAAAATTACGCAAAATTTCAGTCAATCTGTACGTCATTATCAAACCGCAAAGACTGAGTTACAGACTGCCCTCGAGTAACATAACAAACAAAAAAACAGGTAACATTTTGCCGTTGTACCGTTATATAAATCCGATTGGCGATCGGTAATAGATAGCATTTTCCCGTTGTACCCTTATACACGTCGTGTGAATCGGTAATGGATTGCATTTTACCGCTCAACGGTTATACAAATCAGACTGTGGAATGTACCGATTTTTCCATTGTAGCGCAGATATCATTGCATGCTTATTCAATGTCTTGTATGAGGCGCAAATGTGCGAAAAACCCCATGGTATGTGATGACTACCTTCTGGTAGTTAGCATTTTGTCGTTACCTTGGGAGAACTTTTCAATCCCAATGGTCCACATCGGAATTTCCTGCGGGGTATTGTGATACCCTTGTGAAAGCTGATGGACACACGTAACACAGGTTTTTGATACATTATAAATATTGAAACCCAGTAAATGATAATAGATATACTGTATGTATTATTATTATATGCTAGTCGCGACATTTTAGGGTGATTATGAGAACAGAAATTTGAAACGTAAGCTAAAGTGGATTTAATATATAAAAAAATGCAAAAAATAACTGAATTCAAAAAACTTGGTGAAATTTTACAATTAAACGAATTAGTCCCCTTTCCGAGGTCTAAACTGTTATTAAGATTTTTGTATTGAAGGGTCAAATTCTCTTGCTATGACGAAGTTTTGTAGTCAAAACCATTTGAAATAAAAAAATCAAAAAAGGTCAAATAATTTGGCGTTAGGCGAATTTCCGTGTTCCTTTCCTGAGGGCAAAGCCGTTTGAACTTTAAAATACAAAAAGTCAACTTTTTTTTTTATATCAAGCGAATTTCCGTGTTCCGTTCCATGAGGGCAAATCCGTTTAAATTTTAGAATTTAACAGGGGCCAACATTATTTAGATTTTGATCACAACAGGTGTGATACCCATTCGCACAAATTCAACACGGAAATGCCCCCTGTCGGGTTAATTTCCGTGTGTTTTGTAAGGAAATAACAGGGTCTGTTTAGTGGGGTTTAATTTCACCACAATCTGGGCGTTAAATCACGCGATCGTGTGGATGTTTTGGTGGGAATCGATACATGTTAGGAAGGATGTAAACAAGACAGTCAAAACAACGTCAAATTTCGACAAAATAGTATAACAAATGGGCCCATTTGTGGGAATACGTTTTGCGCGAAATATTAATTTACCAGTACGACGAAATAGTACATCAAATAGGGCCAATTGTGGGAATAAGTTTGGCGCGAAATATCAATTTACTGTTTTGACCAAATGGTATATCAAATCGGCCCATTTGTGGGAATACGTTTGGCGAGAAATATCAATTATAGAAACTTTAATATTTATAACTATATTTTACATTTACCTATACGTTTTTATATATTTTACGATAAACTCGCACAATAAATCGCTCGAAATGAGTTCGTAAGAAAAGATGAGGCCATCTTTTGCCGGAAAAATATTATTGCGGTAAAAAAAACAGAAATGAGCTTCGTTCTTCCGCATAGTATTTATACCAACGACATTGTATAAAAGAGTGGTTCCAGAACTTTTATGGTTAAACATTGTAACAATACAAGAAATGCAAGCATTGTAGACATATTAGACTATCTCGATTTATTTTGGCAACATAACATAAAACAGTAAACATAATATAATCACCTTCGTTCCTACAATCGTCGTCTCGTACATTGTCGGAGGAGCCGCAATGGTAGCCATGGTTGTACCAATTGGTAAAGGGCCGCATGTTTGAGGCATCATTTGGCTCATTGACACCAATTGTGGCGCAGCGGTAATGGGTGTATGGCCGCCCTGGAAGGGCAGAAACACCACCGGCATCGGGGAGGGGGCGAGATGATTAATGGTGACGTTTGGGTGATACAACTACGACGTCAATGATTAGTGATGACGTAATAATAACAATAGCGACGAGGAAGTCCGGAAGAAAACTGTTTTCAATCCAAATGCTTTGATGTTTATTTATGAGGAAGCGATACGAATGATAACAAAGGAAGTGACGTAATTCGAATGACGTCAGAATGCAAAGCAAGGTAAGTGCAAGGCAGCGTTGTTAAAATCTATTGGCAGTAGGAAGTTGGAACATAAAATAAGGCAACTTTGGCAAATTAGATATATAGTTAATTATATAATTACTTCATTATATACACAGTTAAATATAAAATCTGTAAAAATAGAATTATAATTAAACTCAAACATATCAAAACATCTTAGAAAACATTTACTCGTCCAAGTATAAAATTTCAGCTTTCATCTCAGTAGCAGTCTGGGATCGGTGCTCCCGAAGTATTCGTACCAAGAAGGTGCACAACCTGAACATGGTATGTGTATCAGGTTAGGGTTGTTCAGGTTCTGCGTCATCTTGGTACGAATACTTCCGGAGCGCCATGGAATCTACCGACACGAAACGCCACAATTTAGAATTAAATACACAAGAACATACAGACAAAACAACTTATATTCCTGACATTTTTTACTTACATTCCTTGGTTAACACAGGCAGTCCCCGAACTCGAAATAGAACTAAAATAAGGAAAATTGCAATAAAATTATCGCCTAGCCTGACCCTAACCTGGTACACATACTACGGGAGTACCCATGTCTGTGTTCAACTAGACACATGTATCCTAATTCCAGTCTACATTTAGACTAAAATTAAAATTCCCTTTTAACAGCAAAGAATAAGCCTTTTATTTATCTTAGAAAACTGAGGTCGCCTATGCTACATTCACTCATATAGTTTCCCAGTTATGCCACTTATACAGCCCTCACACTACTTTCTAAACAGTCATAATAATCTTTCATCAAAACGTCTTATTACACAACACACCTGTCAGATAAATGTAAATTTTCAGCGAAAATAATAAAACAACAATACTGAAGGAAACCTGACAACCCACCCATCCATGTAAAAAATCATAACTAAAAGAAATGAATTTGTTAGGTCTGTGACTCAGAAGGAGAAACGTCTAACTGAACAGGTATTATTGAAACATGAGCTGTCATCTCTAAACGGATAAGAACGTGAATTTAGGCTTGTTTAACAGACATTATGAGGTCAAATACGAGTTGTTATTGGAGATATAATGACAAGTGATATTTTTAAATAATGTATCAACACTCAACAGTGATACTGTTTTGATTCATTTTTTTTGTTGCTAGAATTCACGTATTCATTTGGTTGCTGTTTAGGAAACGATTTTGCCATTTATATATTATATCGGCAACGATATTTCAACTTATTCAAGTTAGTACAGATATACTAACTGAAAATATCATGTCTGTATCATGTCAGATATCATTTCTGACCATACCAACGATTTTGCATTTTTTATATTATATCAGCAACGGGATTTTCGTCTGTTATTACAGATATACTGATAATCGATATTTTATAAACATATCCACCGATACTTCTTGAGTATATTTTTTCGATACTCGGATATTTATTCTTTGATTTGGTAACCGATTAGGTCCGAACATACTAACGATTTTGAATTTTTCATCTTTTTTCGACAGGAAAATTTCAATCTGTTATTAGAGATATACAGACAATCAATATTTTATAAACATAGTACCGATACTGCTTGGGTTTATTTTTTTCATTTTCATATATTTTTTCGGTACTCGGGATTCATTCTTTGATTTGGTAGCCGTTTAGGTCTGACCAAACGAACGATTTTTCTATATTTTTTAGCAGCAAAATTTAAATCGATTATTACAGATATACAAACTGAACTATATTGTTTACTACTTATCAGTTGTCCATATATTACTATGAAATAAGTCTATTATTAAGACCCACAACACAAAAAACTATAAATCTGTTCTGAGCCCTACGATCTCTTCAAAACATTGCTTCGACTTTCATTGCGAACCGCATAACTAACCATTCAATTTCTTATTGTCTACAAATTGCTATCTGACCCGTCATTGATTATTACTACTGGTGTCGGCGAAATTTGAAGCTGGTTGTTGTAGCAACACTCCCTGTGCCTAATGCAAAACTATCATTTGCCAGGTTTCTTACGTGTGCACAAATATTACTCTGTTTGTGGTCTTTTTATGGACCTCCAGAAGTATGTGCAGCAAGATGGCGCACAATCTGAACATAGTATGTGTATCAGGTTATAGTTCAGGTTGTGCGTCATCTTGGTGCACATACTTCGGGCGCCCCTTTTCAGTATGTTTTTTTTATTTTTTGACAACACACAATTTTTGCTTCAAAGAAGCTAGATGGCTACTCAACTATCGGACCACGGTCCGAATCCGGACCTTTCGAGTATTTGCTTCTGACCGCGAGCCCTACGCCCTCTTCAAAACATTGCTTCGACTTTCATTGCGAACCGCATAACTAACAATCTTGTACTTCGTTGAACATAAAACAAATAACACCATGAAAGGAAGCGACTCGCGAAAGTCATTCCAGTTAACTGCGGGACATTCCAAGCAATTAAATTATTTAATTAGTCGGGACACTGTATTATTATCAACTTTCACTGCGCAATCACGAATCACCGACACGGGGAAATCGAGTTCTGGGAAAGATAAGTCGAACGCCAGATCAAGTTATTAGATTCAGTACTATCCGTATATATTTGGGGGAATGTGATATAAATTAAAAAACCGAAACATGGAAACAAAAAACTTTGTATAAAAAATATAATGATTCGATTTTAAAATTTCAATACGAAAATTCCGTTTGGCGTTTGGACTTTATCCAGCACAAAAAGGTCGATAGATTTAGAGACAGATACTTGTATGGTCGTGTATGAAACTATTAGGCAAAAAAAAAATATTGATAATTTGACATACAATATTTCGTAATTTAAAGTCTTGCTGTTGCTACACACTAGAACAAACTTCTTTTGGAATCGCAATATTTGTAAAAATTCAAAACAAGTCGGGAATCACACAAATAATAGAAACTACCCCATTGTATTGACGATTTTATACCAGACTTAAGACTATTTTATTAAATACAGCATTTCTCTCTGCACATTAAATAACTCCTTGAACACTGATAATTGTTCGGAACCACGTAGTCTAATAACAAAACTTTAGTTTTACCTAGTAAATTACAATGCTACGTACGAATGTATTTAAATAACATAAAGTCTAGAATAGTTTATTTCCTATTACTGTATAAATAAGTAAAGATAGACCTAGACATGTGCTCATCACGTCTAAGCACAAAAGAGGACAGGTCGGTTATTGGACTAATTCCGATTCACAATCGCCTATTTATATATTCATGACCGGGCTGGCCAAAACCTATTCTATTCATGTTCTGAAACATTCTAAGTACAATTATATTCATGAAGAGAAACAATACGTCAATGAAGCATGAATGAAACGTAATTGTAACTTCACAGTGGATAGTGTTAACCTAAAAAAAATAGATTTGTATTATTTCTAATAAAGGAGTTCGCTATATCATGATGGGTGCATTAAATATCGGGTATTTGTATCCAGATATTCGAATCGTTCCGGACATTCTAGCGTTCAATTGCGCTCGGCAATAATGTAACCGAAAACACCAATCCACTCTGTTTCTGCGGAGGTTCCCAAATTTTTTTGTTAAATTCCTCCCTGTGCCTATTATTAATTCTTTATTCCTCCCGCACTATACATAAAAACTACTTTATTTGTTCAATTTTTAATAGCTAGTATTATGCGCCAGTCTTTTCTTGTTTTTTCTACAGTTTAAAAGTAGTTTATTACGCGTTCATTAATAAGTATCATATTAATAACAAAAAACTAAAGAATATTTGTTATAATATGCGAATACAAAGCAAAATCCTTCCCCAAACGGCAAAATTTCTGCACTCCCGAAGTATGTGAACCAAGATGGCGGACACCGTAGTATGTGTACCAGGTTAGGGTTAGGCCATAATTTTATTCCAATTTTCCTCATTTTAGTTCTATAACGAGTTCCGGGACTAGCCAAGTGACTCCCGTAGTATTTGTACCTGAAAGAAAATTATGGCCTAACCCTACCCTGGTACACGTACCACGTTCCGGTGTCCGCCATCTTGGTTCACATACTTCGGGAGTACCAAAATTTCTACCTCGCAAGGAATTCCTCGCTGACTGGGAAACGTTGTGTCAGATAAACAAGATAAATCCGTTTAATAACGGAAATGATCCTAATTATAAAAAGCGGAAATATTGGAAAAAATGCGCCAAGATTGAAAAATTCCATGATGGGTTTTAGGAATCCTATAATCAAAAATACCTTTTCATTTCTGAAATTAGCCTTGTCAATTTTGGCAAAGCTCATAATCATGAAACAATTTAGAATAATCGGAATTGAAATGAATTGTTGGACAATGATCCCAAGTGATCCTGAGTACTAAAAATGTCTGCTTATCGTGACGCAGCATGGTTGCGACGCATGCATGTATGATAGACACAAATTACTATGAAAATGAAAATAAAAAAAACAATTTGGACGCAAACCTATCCCGCTGGGTACCCCCGCAGTATTTGTACCAGATTGAGGTTAGGCCATAATTTTATTCCAATTTTCTTTATTTTAGTTGGCCCTATTAGGAGTTCGGGAACTGTCTGTGTTAGCCAAGTGAATACACCCCCTGCCCATTATTTTAGTCACTTTACGCAGCTTGATGTAAAGTAGGCGAACAAAACTAGTTACATCCATATTTGTACACACATGAAATTATGGATTTTGGAAATTATATTTACGTTATATTCCGACAAACTCTCCTCATTAGCATTTCATTAACAAAAATCAAAAACGTCCACGAATGTCGCTCCGTTCCCAGTATTTATTCTCATTTAAGCATAATCGACCTACCAAACGATATAAAAGAAAATTGCTTCTGAAAGGCTCGCAATTTTGTCTAAAAATTCTCACTGTAAAAGGCTACACACATAATCCTTGACTTTATTTTGCAAAACAAACTATCTCATTATACTTAGTTATACAATTCCACTAATAAACCAGTCGTCAATGATGGCTGCTAACTAGCATACTGGTCTTATCAATATTTGAATTCACAAAGCAAAATTAGGAGCGATTGGCAGTGTTCCCAAACAACAAATCCAAACGTGTCAAATCGCAACCGAAATAATAGTCTGTATATTACGTAGGCCATAAAGTAAATTAGACATTCAGACGCATGGTTAAAAATACCAAGT